TATATATATATATACACACACACACACACACACACACACACACACACACACACACACACGCACGCATATTATTTAATTTATTTATTTATTTTTTTGTTTGCCGCAAAGTTGAGCGTCTCGTGCTTGCTTGGGACTTGAGGTAGCTCAGGATCCTGTTTCATGTTACACATTTCTAGGACACCCCTAGATAGGGCATAACAGTCTCAAACTCTGTTTTGGTGATGCACAGTTTCAGCTTTCCCAGTGCAATGCCGAGACTTTCAGTGGCTGCTGACCCCCTCACAAACCTAACAGCTATAGCCCATCTGATGGAAGGGAAAAATACACCCACTTTGCTTTAACAATACAACACATCCGCTGTATTGGCTTCAATTTAATTTGTTTCCTGTTATCAATCATCACTACTGTTGAAAGCACATTCATAACAAGAAATCCCTCCCTTTGTGACATCCAACTCACTTTGCAGTGAACTTGTTAAAGAGCAATTGTCTTTTGAGTCATTTATTTCCTTTGTCATATTTTTTTTACCACAAGTCACTTGTTTTCATAGTTTGGCTGGTCCTGTGATTCATACTTAGGTGTGATTTATATATATTAAAATTCGAGCTCAGACCAGCAGCCACAATCCCCGTTCCCAAATCGTGTTGACTTTCTTTTAGCAGTTGCCAAATATTTTAGGTGCATTAACACAAGTGGACAAAAAGTAGTGGTAGTGCCCCAAAAGTATTTACTAACAGCCAAAAGAAAGACCATGGAGAAATGGAAGAAGGATAAGAAGATAAAGGAGAAGAAGAAATAGTCATGCATTAATGGTGGCTACCTTGTTTAAAGCATGCTAAAGAACTTGTCGGTAATGCAGCAGATATCATTTGACAACCGCCAAAAGAAAGTAGAAGAAGAACGACTGTTGAAGCAGAAATACTAGTAGTCATGGCAACAAATGTGTGACGTATCACTAGTTTAGCATGTGGCTTTCTTCAGACACAGGAAGGGTTTCAACAGCAACAAACGAATCAATCACCAACCAAGATTCTACCTTTTGCTACAATGCCGCGCGAAATTTAAGTTAAAACATTTTAAAACAAAAAAGACCTTTCAACTTTTCCAGAAAAAAAAAATTTATATATATATAAAGACAGGAAAGGAAATGACTAGAATGGAATGTCCATGAAAAAAACAAAAGGGCGTAAGCTTTTGCTGAACATCTGTGACCTCCACTGATTGAAAGCTGACTCTACGAGAATGGGCTCAGGATTACTTGCTTGGCGAATCTATGCCAAGCGCTGCACTGTTATAGCTACTGATGATAGATGGAATACATACCGTATTGGCCCGAATATAAGACGGCCCTGATTAAAAGACGACCCCCTCTTTTTCAAGACTCAAGTTTGAAAAGACTTTTTGAACACCAAATTAATTTTTATCCAGAAAATAATTACAGTACATCTGAAACAAATGATTATAACAATATATTTGAGAGAAAAAGCATGTTATTTTGCCTCATTCTAATCTTAATATCTGAACATTTAAATATGTAAACTAAAGTGCAATCACATTCGTAAATGAATGGCTTCTGGTTTTTGAAATGTAAATTACATCATAACTTCTCCTCAGCTGCCGGTTAACCTGGCCGATCGACTTTTCTCCAGATTGTCGCTATGTTTCTCCATTTTCTGTTATCTCTTCTATTATTTTCTTCTGTTTTCTTTCTTACTGCTATTTTTCATTTTTCTTCTTCGTGCTACTGCTATTTTTATTTTTATTCTTCGTGACGGGTTCACTCTGGCCTGGGGAGTCAAGTTCAGCATTCACTTCAATGATACCTGGCACCATCTAGCGTCGTGAATGGGTTTAATGTCTAGACCCGAATATAAAACGACCCCCACTTTTTCAGTCTTATTTCAATGCAAAAAATATCATCTTATATTCGGGCCAATATGGTATTAGAATGTATCCAAATATATATGTTAATACCAATATAAAATCTTGTCAGCAATGTTTAAATGAAGGCAGGAGATGTTATCTTTCAGCGACATGTGTGAGCTCTCTCAAGCTGGGTATTGGTTCACACACAGCCAAAGACTTGCAGTGTTGCTAAATGAAAAGGTGATGTTACACATTGGCAAACATGTCGCTGTCCCAGCTTTTTGGGAAAGTGTTGCAGGCATCTAATTCAAAGTTGCAGAGTAAATGTCTGCAAATAAATTATACATTTTCACAAAAAATAACTATTTTTAGTGTATCGTATTCAATAGAATATATGGTAGGTTGAATGGGATTTTGAAATTTTCCAGAAAATTATTGTATCTTATCACCAGAATTGGAGAGATGTGGGTGTTTTCCCAAGAAATACTGTGTTTTTTTTCATTTCACACACTACATTTGTTCAAAAAAGGCAAGATCAAAATGTGTTTTCCCATTGTAACACACTCAAGATAACTTTCCATTCCTTTCCTTTGTCCGAGCAAGAACAACCTGGGATACTTGGAGTAAAGGTCATTCAGATTTAGAAAATACTTCGGAAAGCTGCCTCGATGGAACCTTTAAGCTTCCTTTAACAACCTTTTTGAAAGTAAATATTTGTTACCCATCCTCCTTTTAAGGCAGCAACAAGCCACCAAATAAGTTTATCGCAGTAGAAATTTATGTCAGTGAGACTGCCTTCGCGTGAAGTGAACTTGATTTCATTTCAAACATCAATTTATTTTCATATATCCCAAAGGAAGCATTTTTTTTTAATTCTTGTTATCACGATTGTTTTGTTTTATGTACAGCACTTGGTTTCAGCTCTGGGTGTTTTTTTAAATGCTCAATGAAGTTGCGTTGAGCAACGAAGGTTCTAACTGAGTGGCAAGCAAATGAGCCAATCACGACCGTGCCATTCCCAAATTGACAAGTGAATCATCTGATTGTGGCAGTGTCATTTCCCAGCATGCTGGCATACTAATGAAGTTGACATCTTATTTTTTAACCCTTTCATGCACCCTGTAACCCGTCAACATGGTAAGCTGTCCACTGGAGTAACCGCTGTCCCTCAAAGGGTTAAACCGAAAAAAATACAATGAACAACAATCGAGTGTACATATTTCAAAGTCAAACTAAGTCTGTGTCTTTTAATTTTCGCAACGTCACCCTTCCTCAAAACAGTGATTGGAGTCAACTTGAGTCCCCACGTGTGATCTAAGGGGACTGTGTCCAAGCACTTTTGTTGTTACAGACTGTTTCAATGTCTCGATAATCAAGACTTACCTGACAGGCATTATATAGAAGCTGGTGCTCAAACTTCTTGATACCAAGAATCTGTTGAAACATCTCATAGAGCTGGTCTTTGCTGAGAATCAGTTCAGAGGCAGCGCTGGCAGTCATTCTCTGTTGGTGTTTTCTTGGGTCCTCCTCGCCTCGGTAAATGGTGTCAAACTTAGCTATCCATGAGCTGAGAACAGTCTCTTTACTCAAGCCGTCGATTTCTGGCAAGCTGCGCACACGCTTCTCGATGTGCTTTTTAAAAACTTCGCGCGAGTCACTGGCTGAGCAGCCGCCGCTCTGTACCATCCGAGACACTCGATCACTTTTCAGGAACACCTGTGGTCACAAAAGAATGGGAGAGTAGTGTTGGTTATAGATTAAACACACTGTTTTACATATTGGTAGCTCAAATGAGGATACGAGCTGAACCTTTTTTTGTACTAGAATATTGATCAAGAACAGTCAAGACAAAGCCCACTGAATTCCCTTTTGAATCAACATGAATTTTACTGATATGATGAATTTAATGACTGTCAGTTGTTATCATTCGACAAACATACCGGTAATTGTTTCTAAGAAAAAAAAATATTCCATACTTTTAATGCCGAAGCTTCCCAAATGAATCACAAGAGAAGTTCACTGATTTGCAACCTGTTTTCTGAAGATAAAAATGTCATCTTTGGATACATATAGGATTGTTCTTCTTTTGCGTAGCATTTCCTTTTCTGTGCAAACTAACACAAATGCATCTTCAAGTGTTCCTTTTTTTGGTTTCTTTTACAAATGCTTTGTCTTTGTCATTCGAGTTGCCTTTACCCTTAATGCCACCGCAGAGAGCCACTTATGTTGTTGCGATAAACCAGAAGGATCTGTGAGTGAGCTGCAGGGCAAGGACGAGACAGCCATTTTGCATTCACGCAACAGCCGACAGCAAAATAAACGGTGTCATTTCTGAGATAGCTACGGATTTGTAAAAGCGTCAGAAGTGCCATCATTACGGTTGTATAAAGATGAGAGTGTAATGGGTTTAATGATTAGTAAAGACCATTTATGTACTCGGAATGTGAGGAGCAACACATGGAAATTACGTTCTGCCCTAAATCATTTTGTGGGTAACAGAACAACAATTAATTAAGAATTCATTGCCGATTACTTCAATCACGTCCTCTCCTAAATTTGCCATGGCTTTCCCATATTCTTCAATTTTGTCCTTCCTATATGATTTTTTTTCAGACTAGATCAATACTTTTAGTGAATTGTTACCTTTGGAGTCGTAATTTGAACCAAAAAACTGTCTCAGTGAATCAAATAGAAAATTCGATTTATACTATGTATATACACACAAACACACACACACATATATATATATATATATATATATATATATATATTTTTTTTTTTTTTAAGGATGTGAGTGGCAGCCAAAATACCCAGAGAAATCCCAAGCACAGGTAGAAGATTACACGTCAGCCAGTTGTTAGCCGATCACGTCTGAGGCTCGCATACCTGTCAACCTCGGTTAATAGCTGCCCTTATAAATGATTACGATTCCCCTTACAAAGCAACAAAAACCCTTACAACGGCTTGCCGCGCATGCGCACATCATGCTTTATCAATCCCACCGTATGCAGCGATGATAAAAAATATACGATTGAGGATTACTTTTGCTGGTTTGCCATGACAATAGTAGCGATCGACGACGGCATTGTCGTTGGCTACCAGCAGGTGATACGATCTGGATTTGAGCCAAAATGGTCTTTGTGAAATCGGTTCACAATTTTTTTTTCCCCGTATAAAAGTTGCAATACGCCGTACATGATTTGAAATGATTAAAAAAAAACCATATAAAATACGGGGAAAACGTACAAGTTGACAGGTATGGGCTTGGAACCAAACTCTTGTGGCTATTCCAGGGGTCAAGGCACTTGCACTTTTAGATCTAAATCCCTGTTTCCTCTCCAATGCAGGAATAAATAGAATTTGGTTGTGGTTTTCTCCCTAAATCTTCCTTCTATATTGGTTGGGTATAACACCTACTGTACATTACACACAGAGGATAAGATGGCAGTCTAATTAGAAAGGGACAGTTTGACACAAGAGCGATAGACGTGCAGTCCGGACACAACGGGGATGAATATTTTCCATTCCGACTGCTTCTGGGAAGGACACACTTCAAAAGTGTCCAGGAACACCAGAAAAAAAGTCACTGTAATGCTACACAACCAATATCATCAAGTGAATTTTGATCCTTTGTCTCTGCAGCCTTCTCTGCATCTTTCTATTTCTGTCTTCACCAATATCTTGCATGTCTCACTCTCCGACTCCTCTTCGGTTTAAATGTCTCTACTATCTTTCTTTCTTTCTTTGTCTTCAGTTGGAGCCTCGGGGTAAAACAATTAGATTTGTGTTAAAATGATTATGATAAGTCATAATCTCAGGAGAAAAAAATACTAGCATAAGCTTGATCAAGTCCACAACAGCCTGAGAAACAAAGACAAAATGATCCTCATGATTGCAGGCATCACTTTTCTTTCTATACTCACCTCATAGTAGCTCTGGACAGCATTGATGAAGGCCTCGTCGGCTACAATCTGTGTTTCTCCGTTGAGGAATGCCTGAAAACGCTCTTTGACTGTCTGCAGCTGCTGCTTACTGATCTAATACAAACATAAAAATGAAAATGAGAAAACTATTATAGTTTATCAGACTCGAATCCCATACTCCAACAGTAAGTACACTACTGATATGAACGTCACAACCGATAAGGTGGGTTTATTTGCAATTGTTACTCAATCGTGTTAGACGGTATGTTTTACTGAATTAGGATCCCTCAATTGAAACAGTATTGTTCTATTGATAAATGACCAGTAAAACTCCCCGCTCAGAGACTCAACACACTGGCCAGTTGCTGTCCGGAGCCCTGGTAACTGTTGCCATGGCCACCGCTACAGAAGAATTAGTATGTGATTACAGCTTCCTTAATGGGGGTCAAAGTTCACAGCTACAGAGGAACCATCTGTCATCTACTCTTAAGCCATAGAAATATTGTCAAAGTGACATTCAGCTGGAAATCACGACAGTGGTAACAATTCACTGGTATGTTTGGCTCGAACTTGTCTTGACAAGTGCTTGCATGCTGGTATTTAAAACATTGTTATTTGTGTAAGCTTCGAGAACAAACACAAGCTAATAACCTTTTTACTTTTGTTGATGCACACAAATGCTTACCAAAGTTACCTGGGGCGATCATGGGGAATGCCTTCTTTGGCAGTCTCCACAATCGCCACGTAAGAAACAAAAGCCCCTTTTCCATTGGAACACTTCTATCCCAAAACAGCATGGTTTGGCCCTGCGTGGTTCTATCAAGAATGCAGGTCGACGATAGCTGTGACATCACTGTCATCTGATTGGATGACAGATATAGGACAATCAGATAATCAACTGTTACCATTGTAAAACTCAATTGAAAAAAGAGCTATCTTTCAATTCATTCTCGAATGGACCAACAACGTACACACCGCTCAGTAAAACGTTGACAGCAAGCTTTAATATTTCATCTTTCGGTACATATGATATTGTGAATATGGTTAGGTCTTGCTGTGAAACACAATATTTATACATTGGATTTACCATATTTTTATGTCTTGGCGGCGGGCGGACTTGTGTCTCGGACTGTGTCTCGTTTAAACCGGAAATTGCTTTTTCATCCGTGTGAAAGCTTCTATGTATTATTTATTTATTTATGCATTTATTACTATAATTTTTGAGTCCCCACATCGTTCAACTGCGATTCATAGTGTGAATTGCCACAAAACCAGTGGCCAAGACTCAGCCACTTGTGAAATGGTGTGGCAGACCCCTGTTTCTTGAAAGTGTGCAATGGATGCTTGCACAGTTCAATAGATCTTGGGCAAATTGGTTGATGCTTATTGTACTGGAGAAGCAACAAAAGCCAGACCAGTCCAAGTGAGGCCGTGGGGCAGAACGGGGCCAGGGAACGGAAAAGTACCCAAAGTGATTTATGGGTGTGAAATTTTATGGTTTCCTATACAGTGATTCAAGCAGAGATTCTTCACAGCCTTGAAAGCTTTTTTTCAGTTCAATTTTGAATGCAATGAATATATACTTGTATATGTACTGTGTGTGTATGTATGTATATATATATATATATATACACACACACACACACACACACACACACACACACACACACACACGCTCAGACTTAACTAAACAGGGTTAGTAATGAATCCTAATTTTGTTTGTTCTGTTTAAGTTTCTTCTGGAACTTTGTTTAGCTGCAGTCAGGAAAATTTAACCTGCCCTATAGTGGTTTGCGAGACTGCACATTTTGATATCGATCCAATATCAAGTAAATGCAGGACCAGTATCGCAGCCACCAATATCGATAGCGGTACAGATAATAGTTTTTAATTAAGGTGGTTGCGTCATCAAATTACGAAATCTCAAATCATTTTCATGACCTTTAAGTGTGTTTTTGACGTGTGTGTGTGAGTGTGTGTGTGTTTTTATTTGACCTTTTTTCTTTATTTAGTGGCACCTGTGTGTGACGTGGTAATTACACTCTTAACACTGCTTGGCAGTCGCAAATGAGGAATGGACTGGGCCCATGTGGGTTGGCCTGAAATACTGACGGAAACAGTGACTGACGGACCGTCCGTCAGTCTGACAACAAATACTAATGTCGTTACGAAGAATACATGGAGGAGCCTGTGACAGCACTCGTAATACGATAATTGCAATGTAAAACAGCAATACTTCTTCTTCTTCTCCTTTCGGCTTGTCCCTTTTCAGGGGTTGCCACAGCGAGTCATTAATTTCCATCTTTCCCTGTTCTCTGCATCCTCTACTCTGACTCCAACTACCTGCATGTCTTCCCTCACGGCATCCATGAATCTCCTCTTTGGCCTTCCTCTCTGTCTCCTACCTGGTAGCTCCATCTCTAACATTTTCCTACCAATGTATCCCCTGTCCCTCCTCTGTAGATGTCCAAACCATCTCAGTCTGGCCTCTCTCACTTTTTCTCCAAACATTCCTGTCTGAGTTGTCCCTCTGATGACCTCATTTCTGATCCTGTCCATCCTTTTCACTCCGAAGGAGAATCTCAGGATATTTAACTCAGCCACCTCGAACTCTGCCTCCTGTCTTTTCCCAATTGCTAGTGTCTCGAAACCGTACATAATGGCTGGTCTCACAACTGTTCTGTAAACTTTTCCCTTTACCTTAGCTGACACCCTTCTATCACAAATCACTCCTGACACTTT